GCTTTATGGGGAACTCGGCAAACAAACAAATCCCCTGGCTTTGGTGTGCTTGATGAGGAATCCCAGAGGGCTCTTTAACACCCAGGCTCTGAAAGACAACTTCGGAAATTTGTTCGGGCCGCACATGCCATGGGCGGGAAAGCTCTTTTTGGCGCAGGGTTGACCAGTTTTAAGGGGAATTATAACTTAAATAGTACAGGCCACTTGGAAAATTCAATTTGTATGTTCCCAGTTTCCCCTTTCCTACTTGGTTGAAAGGTGATTCTCATTCAAGTTGCACCCGCCAAAGACGCTGAAGCTACAGATATATGGAAATCACTGCCCCCGCCCAAAATATATACTCTGGTATGCACATATATATATATATATATATGGGAGCTCCAGCCAAAGGCCGAAGCACGCACAAGGGCTGTACGAGAAGAGTAAGTTGCGCACAAAACCCATTGGCTTTTGGTTCTTATGTAGAAATACAGATTCATACAGGCCATACTATAACCCTCATGAAACCAGGTGGTAGAACCAACTACTGAACGGGGTTGAGTGGATGGAACAATGCCCCGGCTTCACTTCGAACATTTTGTCCCATCTCCTGCACAAAGACTACCGAGCGGAAAACTCATCAGCGTGCCAAGCAGGCGAGTCAGCTGTCTATTTCCTTTGCTTCAGCTTCTGCATCAAACCTGCCGTAACTAACATGCTCGGTAACATATCAACATATCAATTAAGAGCTAGCCTGGAGAGGGAGGGTACTCTAGCGTGCCGGGTTGAGTTGGGTCTTGTTCCTGTGGTTCCCGTAACCAATCTGCAAAAAGAACGCCGGCCCTAGGAGTCCTGATTTCTGTCCACACATCACCATGAATCCCCATGGGCCGCTGAGCATATGTTGATCAATCCAAATTCATGACTGTTGGGAATCAAAATCCACTGGAAAGGGGATTCCTTTGGACCCATAGGATCTTGCAGACTGAACACATTTCCCGAAACCTGAGGCCCAAGCTCCCTGATCCGCAGCTTGTCTAAGATCTTGGAGCCAGGGATGGACACCTGCGAGCAAGCGATGCGTTGCCAGAGCTGCAACGAACAACCTCACACCTGCCCAATTGACTGGCCTCGACAACAAACCCCCCCCAGAGGTTTAGAGCAATATCCCATTAAGGCTAGTTTCAGGCATCAGGTACCTCACCCAAAGTATGCCTGGAGTCTCCATGACCCTTAAAATGAGGTCACATACCCAAAATTGAGGCAGGAACATTTTTTTGTGGACCTTGACTAATTTCCTTCCCTACCGAAGCTTCCATTGAAAAAACACGCGAGGCACAGTGGGCTCGTGTCCTGCGATTGTCCAATGTAACCTCTCAAAGTTCAAAGAGGGGACCCCCGCCTGCCCCCCCCCCTTGCCCAAAAGAAAAGAAGAAGAAAAGAGCAACCCTATTAATTGGTCACTTGTAGGCCATAGTTGCTAGTCGAAACTAATTTGGAGGATTTTCCCATGCGCTTATCCCCGCAAATTGTCTCCTTTCTGAGTAACTGGACTTTGTTGGCAGTTGAGTGGGGTTTCTTTGCTGGCTTTTCGGTTGAAATTTAGTAAATGAGACTTGACCCTCATTGCCCTATGTTTTGACTGAAACTCATGTGGGTGCAACTCATGGGAAACGGAGCGCAAGGGTTTCTTTTGTCCTTTTTGGGCCTCCCTTTAGAAGCTACTCAAAGGGTACCCTCAACAAAGAGAACAAACCACACGGGTTTGTGTCCACATTCCCTAACTTCAAGCTTGACAGTTGACACGGCCCTTTCCTCGGTTCCCTAACCGCAAGTTTGACCCCGCGTTCGGTCCGCAAACAGCATGAACAAAATGGAGCTCCAAAGCTGGACATGCAGAGAAACATCATGTCTCAATGGGACTCATCGGCCACTGACCCCAGTTCCTTTGTTGTTTTTTTCACCAAAACTTCCTCAATGTCCTGAACATGGGAAAGAAACACACTGTGCTTCAGTGCTTCATCCATCTTGCCCAGGAGTCCGCCAGGCTCAAGTCGCCCGCTATCCCGACTTGGGAACTCCCCGGTTGAACTACTCTGAGGTAGGGAACACGTCCCGTGTGCCCCGGATCGTAACAAAACTGCAACACGCTTCCAGCAAAGACGGAGCACAACTAGAGCAATAGCTTGCGGTTCAATTTCAGCAGAGGAGGTCTGCTTAACAACCCCCCTACCATTCAAAAATGACCAAAACAGCAAAGGGCCTCCAACAAGCATCGGAAGTGTAATTAATTCTTGCCAGTCTTTGCCCCGCCGACCAGGTTTTCTAGAAAGGGGGGCTCCCCAATCGGGCCAGCACCAGGGAAGCCACGACCATCTGGAAGGATCGACTGGCTTGAGACAACCCAAGCCGAAGAACACCACTCCGGGGACCCTGCGGCTGCATCAGACACGGCTCCAAACTGGTCCTGTGCACCAAAAATATGGCCGGTGCCCCAAACGTAACTTGGTACGGGCTTTCTCATGTGGCATTGGTTCCCTGGTTGTTTTGGTCATTTATCAATGACTTCCAACGAAGGTCTCCAAAGAAGACACGGATGTCTATACTGGCGTTCGATGATCATGGCAAAAATAGCTGGATCTTGGAGAACCTCAGAGCGGCTCGCCCCGACATTGGGGCATTGCAGAAGTTCCAAGCTTGGTGGTTTTCCCTTGGTGTCCATTAAAAAGCCGAAAAGGACACCCTCAATGCATACCCAAGTCTAAACCAGCACTGACAACCAAGCGGATGAAAGGACAGAAACAGCCCGTGCGATTGACCATGCCTGTCATTTCACAACCAGCGCGGAATAACATCCAGCACGCCCTTGTATTCAAGGGTGAATCAAGCTGTTGACAACTCATGTGGGGATGTCTCACAAGAAGAACTCCAATGGTTTGGGTTCACCATGGCTTCCTTCTCACATGGGCCCTGGAGCCAAGCAACAACCATTTTTCTGGATTCTCTGTCCAAATAGGTTTGAGGCCGCTTTCAGGGAGGGTTTGCGGAGGGTTCCGGGGGTTCCGGAACTATTGGGGATATCACCTGGGCTTGTTCTCTGCGCGCTTGTTCTGTTTTGGGTTGCACTCCGGAGAAATGACAGCTTCAACACAGGTTGAGCGGCAGCGAATCGAAAAGAGCAGGCAGCGACAAAGGTTCATAGAAAAACGCACCAGAAGGGACTTAGACAGTGCCACTGCACAACTCTCAGCATGGGCGTGATCCGTTTTCCGCGTGACTAGGCCCTTGCACTGCCACTGGCCCCTCCCCCCCAACCCGAGTGCAAATGAAAATCGGCGCCGAGGTGGGAAATCCCATAAACTGTGGACCCCAAGGTAAGCCCGAATCCATCCCGACAGATTTGCATCCTTGTTCTGGCTATTAGCGGGCAATAGGAATGGTGGGGAATCACAAAGGAAAAATCACCTGGGCTACGTTGTCACATCTTACAACAGGACCCCCCATTTTGGTGGTGTTCCTGTTTGCTTCCCTTTGAAACAACCCCAGCTGGCACCCTCACACAAAGACATACCCAAATGTCTAGATCAACATGGAAACCCATCGATGCCTTTGCAACCTCTGAAAAAGACGATCCTCAATCCCCGACCAATTTGACTGGCCACTTTCTGCAACACAACCCGGGCTGTTCAAAACTCAAGCTCCGCCAATCCGAATTAAGAGACACCATTACTCCAAGGGGACACGATGCTTCCCCTCCCGTAACCCAAGTTAGATTGATCTGGCGGATCTCCCTGACCAGTCCCTCAAAATGATGGAGAGGTCGTTGAAGAGCGGCGTGGATGCCTTGGTGGCACAAAAAGAGGCCTCAAACTGGATCGTTTACAGTGACATCATCGAGCTGACCATCTAAATGGTGGTTTAAGAGCAGGGAATCGACCGCCACAAATCATTTTGAGCACCCCTGAAAATGTGCACTTGAAAGAACCCAGTCAAACTCAAGCCCACATGTGCAAAAGAAATCAAACGTTTTTTGTTTCCTTCTTTTAGGTTTCAAGAGAATACCTGGTTGGGGCACGCCCTCCAAGCCACGAAAGTGTTTCCTTTTGGATAGTACCCGTTTTGGAGTAGATTTCATGCTGGAGAAGTTCCCTATGTTTCGACCCACAAATATGTCCCTTGAAAAGTGCGCGACTCGGATCACTCCCCGGCAGTTCGAACCCGCACTCCTCAAGGGCGGACCGACCCAGCGTTCCGAACATGGTTGCTCCCTGTCGATCAGTAGACCTTATTTTGAAGTAAAGAAATATCAAACCAATTTCAACTGGACTGATCGGATGCAAAATCAATTTCTTTGTGTCCCGGTTGCGCAAGTTGATGATTCTTCGCCATGTGCCTCGTCGTTGAAGGGTACGTTCTATGGGTTGCCTGCTTTGTAAGGACATGGATTCGAGCCTTGGGCGGGGGGGGTTTTCATCATCTGGCGCGGCTCGAGCGGAGCTCTCAGGGCCCCACAGGCGGGGTCAGGTAAAAGGCGAAGACGTACTCCCGCGGCACGATGGTGGTGTTCCTCGACTCATTTTTGGGGTGAAGGCCTCAAAGGGCTGCAAACCAGCCGGTCCGGACCTGACCTTTGGGTAGGGGAAATCTATCAATGGCGACTCCTTGGCCGTAGGTACATGACTTTTATCACCAGTGCTGGCAGTTGCCAGCAGATATCCAGGGGGAACCATGACATCAAATCTACAGGTAAGACAGGACTGTCAGCTACTGTATTAGCGGGAACCGCTGGCGTCAAAACGGAAGCTGACAAGTAATGTACCGAACCATCAACGGCATTTGAACACCTGCTAGCGCCACAAAACACTTTGCAAAGGCTCATTCATTGCCTGATCCTCGCCAAAAAAAAAGAATAATAATAATATAGAACAGACATGCTGAGACCAGTCAGCTATTTTTGCGTCATTGCTTGGCTGGCGCAGCAGCACAGAAAGTCAGTGTCTTACATAGAAAAACAGAACGAGAGAGTGGGAGAGAGAGCGAGAGAGAGGCCGACTCCTAGTCGAATTTGGATTCATCTGGGTCCATTATTGTGAACATCTGTGCGTGTGTGTGTGTGGGTGATGTCATGTTCAATTTACGGGGTTGCTTCCGAGAAAGGTACTATAACGATGCTTCGCAAAACGTTTCACTGTGTGGGTTCTGTGGCCTGAGAAATGTTCTCCATATCTGTCGCTTTGATCAACTCCCCAACCACCATCACCCCGCCCAAAACCGGCGCTGGTTGGTAGGGACCCTGATTTGATGAATCTCTTGAAGAAGATCATGTCAGCGGGCCCAACAGGTGTGCAGAACTTGTTACGCGCTCAGCCAAGGCGCATGAAGACATGCACTATCGCCTCATTCCTGGGCAAGAAGCGACTTGCTGGCCCTTGCATTTTGAGAAGCTGGTCTGACATGGGCGTGTCCAAACATTTAGACCCTTTTGGTCAGCTTCCCCTCAATTGGTGATTTGGATTGGTGGTTTGGAGATTAGGGGGTGATTTCCCATTTACCCTCTACAAGAACCAGGGCTCCAAAATCCCAACCTATCAATCCAAACCACCAATTTTCATTGGTGTGCAAAAAAATGAAAACTACCACATCAGCTTGTGAGGTCAGTCCTTCCCCTGAGGAAACACTCGTATGTTGAAGGTCCGACCAGTGAGCAACACCCTGAACTCTTTTGGCCACCCAGTGATTGCTTGATCCAGACATTGAAGCTCAGAAACTCTGATAGTTTAAACAGGTGTGCTCTCTGGCCAAGCCAAGGTTGGACAAGACACGTGCCAGGTGCGGGTTCGAGAGTGGTACGCAGTTCGCATATGGGGGTTGTTCAAAATAAAGTTCCTGGAAACGGCCCTTTCGCCGGCCTTTCGCGGTCCTTTCGCGGCCCCATGTTTTCCTTTCGCGGTGCTTCCTCTTTTGGTGCTTCTTCCGTAGGTGCTTCCTCTTTTGGAGCTCCCTCTTTTGGAGCTTCCTCTTTTGGAGCTTCTTCCGTAGGTCCCTTTTCTGTTATTTCTTCTTTTGTCTCCTCAGCTGGTGCTGTAGGAAGTGGCGTGTCGTGACAAACCAGTCCTGAAAAACTTGTTTCCGAGCCCAAACGAGGGTTCTACCATGTATTCGTTCTGTTTCGCCGGCCTTTCGCGATGCAGTGTTTCCTTTCGCGCTAGACCTTCAGAACCTCCCTTTACATAATTTTAAGACTGGCAATTTAGAACGACTCCCATATGGGGGATGGTACAATGAGTAGGCTAGTGCGCGTCCACACCCTCTGGCAACCCTGCACGGCAGTGGTTGGCTGCATACTCGCAGCTAGGCAGGCATAGAAACCTATGATTTCAATTATGCTGAGTCGAGGTAAATCAAAATTGACCTGCTTATGGCGGCCATGGGGTGAAAGAACGGGCCTGTGGCAACTGGAAAAAGGGTTCAATGCCAACAGCCTAATCAGTTGGGCGTGTGTCAAAAACGCTCGACCCCAGAAATGGTGGCTTTCGTTGACAACCCACACCCAGTACCCCAAGTATTGAACCCACCAGGCTGGCAGTGCAATCCTGCCAGTGGCTCCCTAAGTCCCGACTTTGCCTGAACGGCTCCCGATACAGGCGTACCACAAGAAAACCAACAAGCACATGTATGTAGGCACACGCTCTCACACCTACATACTCTCTCTCTCTCTCTCTCTCTCAACCACACACAGAACCACAAGCACACAACAAACACGCAGACACACAAACACACAAAGTAATAAATCCAGCTAGACAATCACAACTTTGCAGTACGAGTGACGTACGCGAAGTACACTGTGGCAGCTCCAAATCAAATATGCCAATTGGTGCATTGCCGTAGTTTGCCCAGACTGGTGGTGTGGGCTTGCTTGGTGGTCGATGATGAAGAACTGTGGATACCTTGCTGTTTGCTTGCAGCAACCGTGTTGGTTGCCACATGTGTATAATATATATATATACATTGTACACGTGTGTCCTCGAGGCGGGGTGATGCTGAAGTGGTAACACAGGTCTTACTGGTGACTGAGGTCGGGCCGTAAATCGGGGGGGTCGCTCGCGTCATCGGAAATTAGGCCTCTTGTATCGTCGAAATTGATGCGCTTGTGTCGTCGTGCTTGGCCCGGATGAAGAGCCGCCATTGCTCAAGTGCCACCATCAACTGCGCGCAAAGGGTGGCAAGGATACCACTAGGATGCCAAAATGTGGGGCCAACGGCGTGAACTCGCAATCCACTTCCTGTCCGGAAAGGACCATGCATAGGGGACCCTGGTTTTTCGACCCCCTAACTGCCTTTTGGGCCAGAAGGGAAAAACAAAGATGAAAAGGTCCGAGATTGGAAACACGTGTAGGGTCCCCAAATACAATTGCCCACGCGACTCCAGGCCCCTGCCACAATCCTGAGGCGCTGACACGACCCGGCAGCCGCCAGTGACGGGCAAAGAGATGGCCTGGCAAAGACGTCGCATTCGGCTTGCCAAAGACGTGATGGGGTGGCTCCAAATAGCGGAAGACCTCAAAATGGGGCGGTGTCCTTTGATTTCCTGTTCAAACCAACTCAAAACGGGTACCTTCTACGAACGATTCACCTAAATGCAAATAAGGTCGTGCTTGCTTGTGCGGGTCAGCTTTGTCAGTCGTTTTGGGCTGCAGGGAAGCAAATAAACTCCGAGTTGCCGGGGAAGGACTGCGCTGATTTCGCTCGAGAGTGCGAAGTGCACTGTGCGCATAATAAGCGTGATGAGTGTCGCCGTTTGCGTCCTCTTATCTTGCTTGCAAAGCAAATGCCAAGGGGGCATCTCACCCTTTAAACTCTGAGGCACGGGGTCGCTACAGGGGGGGGCTTTCCCCAACCATCTACCTGGACGCTCAAACTACCATTGAAATTGAAATCAATCTCAACGGAAATCCCTTCATTGTTCAGAAGATCTAAATAGCTCTTCCAAAGACCAGCCACCTGGGAGTTGATGAAAAAAGGACTCGCTTTTGGTAGGTAATTTCATGGAAAACCAAAAAGGAAACCTCTATGCAAGACATCGCGTCGTGTATGTATAATGTATTGCATGACTTCGCCCAACCGCAGGGTGTGCACAGAACATTCTCAGATCTTGTTTTACGTGTCGCCAAGCTTCAATAGGGCAGTTGGTTTCATGTCGGTACCCTGAATTATGTCAAGTTTCCTCGGCTTAAACACGATCCCCCCCCCCACTGCTTGGGGGTAATCTGTTCTGTCTAGTTGAAACCAAAAAATCCCGCTCCAAACAACTCCCAACAATCTGAGCAACATGCGCAGTATGGGCAATTGATTTCTCCTGAAGTCCGTGCCAAAGTAAGGAGTCTTTTTTGTTGAAGTGGGTCCCAAACCTTCGTTGTTGTTAACATTTGTTGTATTAGTATCATGTATCTTTATATATGTATATATAAACCCAAAAAAAACAGTTTTGCAAAGGGGGTACCCGACAAGAGGCCCTGATTCTGACTGTCCCGTTGTTCGCTTTGATGTCAAGCCATCTTAGGGGGGGGCGTGAAATGACCGCCTCCCGCTTTGAAAGGATCGTTCATCTAGCCAAACTCTTCCCAGCTCACAGATTAAAGGAGATAGATAAAAGAAGCTCCATTTTGCAAGTGGTTTCCAAACAACCATATTTGAGATAACTTCTATCGAAACAAAACTAAGCCCAAGCGGGGTGCCCACGAAAGTCAGTGATCCGGCTTTATATATTGTGACTGTTTGGGGGTCTTCTTTAATGTCAAGCTGTTTGGGGTCGGGAAAATCTGGCAATATGTTCAGTGTAAATCCTTTTGAATTGCGGCAGTGGCAATGTAACAAGCTGGTCAGTTGCGTTTCGCAGCTTTTAGCCCCTACAACTGCTGCTTACAGCCCTGAGCCTGCCCTTGATTTCTTTGTTTGCCTATGGCCTGCAGCCCGAGGAATACAACTGTTGTGAGCAGCAGCACGCTTAATTGTTCAGGTTTGCCGGCGCGTGTGTAAAGCTGAGTTGTTTGCCCAACGAGAACTGCCCATGCCCCGTGTAACACGTGTGCCATGAAGTAGTTAAGGTGGCTTCGCCAGGATGCTCATCACCAGCATTGAGAGATGTTTAGCCCAAACGCAGTTTTGTTGCTGGGCCAACTTGTTGTGTTTCACATGAAGCCTGTTGACTCTGCAACAGCTCTCCTAAAAGATCAGTAGGCGATACAGAAGCAACACTTCGGCCATCCAAGCGCCCTGCCAGACCTTCATAGAGGACCCCGACCTAGAAACAGGGCCCCCCAATGAACCAAGGTTCCACATGGACACCGTCTGTCTGCGGCGTGAGAGAAGCCTTCGCCAACGGGACGGTGCGCCTCCAACGTGGCTCCGGAGCATTCTGGCGTGAAGCCGAAGGGCAGCCGGATGTCCAGGTAGCCTCCCGCCTGCAAAGAAACGAGCCCGCCATGGGGGGGGGCCAGGGGGTTGAGGGTTTCGCAATCCGACACAAAGAAAAAAACGTGTTCGTTCCTGGGGAACTCAATCGTGTGATATGTAGCGCCCTTGATGCCCGTCGCTTTTCCACAGGCTGGAGGGTGTTAGAGAAACTTGCGATCAATATGGGTGTGGCCTGTGTTGGGGGACGCCCCAACACGGTGGGTTTCCTTCAAAGGGGTACCCTCACAAGAATACAAACACAACCATATGAACACTAGTCGGTCCGCTCCAGCCACATGGAGCTTGACAGGTTCCCTGGTAGACCAACTTGCTTTTGAAAGCCTGCAACAAGATTCTAGGAATTGTTCAATGGAACCATTCCCAAAGTCCCATCCGCAACCATGCGGGTTTTCGAAATGGCCACTCTTGCAAACCACCGGTATGACAAAACGTCATCTCATTGATCACTCTACCTGATCTACCCTGTTCAATCCGCGACTCGAGGTCGAAATGGGGCAAATGGCAGAGTTCGCACCTGCACCATCTCCCGGGTTCGGAAGCGCCAGACCTGGCGGATGGGTCGAAGCCAGCCGTGGCAAATGGTTGCCCTTTGGAGACAGTGGGATTTCCGACCCCCACGTACGGCTTTGTCGCGTCAAAAGGGGGTCCTTTGTCAGTAGTAGTCGAGGGCCACGCCCAGCAATAAATTGCTTTCATACATACCCCCCACCCTACATGTTTTTTCATCTTCCATCTTCTACCCTTATTTGTTTTCATCATCTTTCTACATTCCTTTCTGTCCATCTCATCCGTTTTTTTTATCATCATTTTTCCAAAATTTTCGCCATCCTTTTCTCCTTCCTCCTCGCCTCATTCATTTCACCAACTACCCTCCAAAATGTCATTTCCTCAATCTCCTCACCTCATCCATTTCAAAAAAATAAATTTTGCAAAATATATTGCAAAAAATATTTGTCATCAAAAAAATATTCGAACTGTCTAAAAACGATTTGTCCATTTCTCGGACAAAAAATAGAACAGCAACAACATCACTCCCTCCTTCGTTTCATCAGTTTCATCATATATTTTGTTGGGCGTGGTCGCATAGCTTGCGAGCTTCGCTAACGCTCGCATCCTCCTTGTAGGATTTTATCTTCAATATATAAAACGCTATACTGACATTATAATTATAACATATAAGGGTATAAATGTTATAATCATAGTATGGTTATGAAATTAATAATAGCTACCAACACTTTCATTATCGCTAACTTATTCTTCGCTTTTGTAGAAGTCTTCAGTGCCTAATATATGATAAAACCGGATATGCCATTCTGCTTCTGTTCTAAATGGCATCATTGATAAAAGTGCTCTCATAGCGTCATAATATTGACTTGTCAGTATTTTTCTACCATTAATGTTCATATCATCAATATTATTAATAAACCATAGATGCTTAAACTTATATTCAATATTAAATATGTAAGAATAATCGTAAAATGTTTTTAATTCTAAGTATATTTCATATTCAGATTTTTTACCATCTAAATATTCAGTCAAAGACATTATCCAGAATGGATTTCTTTTTACCTTTTCCCAAGTTGGAAAAGGGTGTTTAATGATATCGTTATACCTGTAAGGACATATATCATAACAGTTATATGACATAATATTCAATCTAATTTCTAATGGTAAATTGTTAAGTTCCATTTCTATTATAATGTATAGTGTGTATGTCTTTAAATACTTTTTTACAAGAAATAAAATTAAATATTGAAATATAATTATAACATATAATATTTTACATGTTATTATTATATTATGATTATAATTTAAGTTCAGGATAATAATTTAATTGATATATCTTACCTCTTTCATACATCATTTTAAAAATAAGATTAATATCTCTCACTGTATTTTTAACATTAAACTGTTCACTTTCAATATATGATTTTATGACTTTTTTACATCAACGCCGGGTTTACTATAATAAATCAACATCCATAATATGTCATTAATCATTTCACACTTTTTCTTACTGATTTTAAGAAACTGTTTAACATAATCGTAAGGTGGTCTTTCATACACAGTTAAAAATATCAATATTTCATCTTCAACATTTCTTTCATCTATATTTTTAAACGCCAAACAATTTTCTATTATATTTTGATATCGTCTCCATCTTCTACAAGTTCTACATATATTTTCTTCGTCCAAAGAATAATCAATAATATTATTAACTATTCCATTAGGTAAATTCAATTTATATAATTCCATATTTTCTTTTTTAAAGTGGCAACAATCGTAGCATTTCTTATTGATATAATTATTGATTTCGGTTTCCACCATTTCTATTATAATATATATAGTTTTTATTTCTTTAAATACTTTTTTACAAGAAATAAAATTAAATATTGAAATATAATTATAACATATAATATTTTACATGTTATTATTATAGTATGATTATAATTTAAGTTCAGGATAATAAGTTAATTGATGATTATTAAATTGTGTAAATATCTTACGTTTGTCATGCATCAGTTCAAAAATAATATTAATAGTTTTCACGGTATTTTTCACATTAAACTTATTGCTTTCAATATATGTTTTAATGTCTTCTTTTAAATCAGACCCCTCTCTTCTACGATGTAACAACATCCATAAAATGTGGTCAATCAGTTCATACCTTTTCTTACTGATTTTGAGAAATATTCTAACATAACTATAAGGTGGTCTTCCATACACAGTTAAAAATATCAAAATTTCATATTCAACATTTCTATTACTTCTTCTTTCCAGATTTAAATGATATCTGATTAATTCTTGATTATTTCTCCATTCCTGACAAATTTTACATTCATCTTCTTCATCCATTGAATAATCAATAACAGTATTAACTATTCCATTAGGTAAATTCAATTTATATAATTCCATATTTTCCTTTTTGAAGTGGCAACAGTCGTAGCATTTCTTATTGATATAATTATTGATTTCGGTTTCCACCATTTCTATTATAATATATAGTTTTTATTTCTTTAAATATTTTTTACAAGAAATAAATTTATACCTTTAATAACTCATGTCTCAAAAATGCCCTGTCATAACTTTCAATATAATAATATTCCTGTCCTAACTTCTTTTCAATCTTTGCTATTTTGTAGGATAGTTTAGTCCATACTCCTACTCTCTCCTTTTCGTTTGGTCTCCTTTTCCTGAATATCTTAACTTCATTTCCTACATTTAAATCTGGATAAACTCTATTTCTTTTGGCTTTCATACCTAAGTTTAAACTCACTTCTAATTGATGTTTAGGCTTTCTTGCTTCTGACGGTGTTAAGCCGTGCGAAGTGTGCTTTATTCCATTGTTATAAGTTAATATAATCTCGTGTATGTAGTCTGTCCATTGAATAGCCTTTCCTTTTTTCTCATCGTTTTCAACCCTCTTATACAAGCTATCTTTAAACGTCCTTATCGCCCTCTCCGCAAATGCTGGGTGTCCTCTGGTTCTGTGCAACTCTATTTTTTCATCCTTCAAGAAATCTATAACACTTTGATTATTATAAGCTCCTTCATCGTCAATATAAATTAGTTTGGGCTTTCCACCCATTTTTTTAATACATTCCATCAGTCCTGCTAAAATGTCCGCTGGCTGTTTTGACATAAGCGGGACAACAACCATATACTTAGAAAATATGTCAATACACATCATGCCAACTTTCATTTTTTGTTTAGGGATATCATTAATGAAAAATAAATCAATTTGAAACTCATAATATGCGTTAGGAGCTACAAATGAATTCTGCCCTCTCGGTTTAGCTTTCTGTTCTACATTCTTCCTAAAAAACTCATTAATATCGTTTATAGTTATTGTGTTATCCTTTTTTCTTGCTTCTTGTAAAGTGCGGTTCTTTGACCCGAAGCCTCCTTTATCATAATAAACATTATTAATAATATCTTGCTTACATGCCATATAAAATAAGATAGATATTATTTTTCCCGGCGATTACAGTTTAAACAGTAAGATATACAGTTTTCCTTATGATGGGCATAATCGTTGTTTATTCGTTGGGCTGTCATATTACTATTTATTACTCCATTATTTATTTCTATGTCAAAATCTGAACTGCATTTATTACATCTGGTATTAAGCCTGTGAAATAACCATTTGACATCAATATATTGTTTGTTGTCTATCTCTCTCTCTGCTTTCATGTCTTGTAATTTATATTGTTTAATCTTATGTTCTAAATATCTGGTTACTTGTGCTTCATTTAAATCAGTATCATCTACGTCTGCTTTGAAAAACTTGACTTTATTGATATCTCTGCATCTCGTGAGGGCTGTCCAAATCCACTCACGGCTGACCAAATGTGATTTATCCCATTCGTGTATAGTAATGCTTTTATCTAGAGAAGCCCCTTGAGACGAATGACATGTAGCACAATAAGCATGTATAAAGTGCTTGTCTAAAGTCGTGGTGTTTGTCATGAATATAGTTTTACTTTTGATATCTTGGATTTCTACTTTCCAATCATCAATACTAATAATTTCATAAGTAATATTTACATTAAACACCTGCCCCATTTCTTTTTTATAAACTCTGCATATCACATGCTCTCCAATTTCATATTTATCTGTCTTTCCTAAATTATGTCTTACGGTTTTGCTCACCCATTTGCACCTAGCATTAGTATAGGCTATGTTATGCTCTCCTTCCATGATGTCGCTTGTAGTTTCAAAATGTTTATTTACTATTTCCTTAATGGGCAGTTTATTTTTCCAAATGTCATTATATATATATCATTCAACTTAATTTTATCTTCTTCTGTCTTAAGTCTCTTAGATATCTTAAGATAAATCTTATATTTAAATATTTGATTAAGACAGTTGTTTAAATATGTCTCGTGGTCCTGGGTGTTAGTTAAATCAGCTATAGGTTTCAACTGCTTCCCGTCAGCAGTTCCTATAATTATCTTCTCTGGGTACGTATCCTTAAACTCCCTAACTCTGTTCAAAATATAATTGCCCGCCATACCTAGCTCATCAAACACAATACAATTATAATCAGAATGGTCAAATGTCGGTAGTCTTTCTCCAGCTTCTATTGGAATACTGAAAAACTTGTTTAATGTTACGGCGTCGGCTTCGGTTTCTTGCTTCTGCTTGTTATTAGAACATACGAATAACACATTATAACCTAGATTTTTCATATATTCGCCTATATAACTCTTGCCGCTTCCAGCCAGTTTTGCTTTTATCAACACCGGATTACACGACACAATTTGCTCACAAATGCTTTTGGTGTCGTATTCGTCTTTAACACGAATTTTTACATTATTGTAAGTCGGAATTTCTGATAACTCATTAACCTTAATTTTGTATATATCGCTCGGTGGTGATACTTGTTTATTATCTTCAGCTCTCCATCCTCCCCTTTTGGTTGAAAACTTAATCAATGTTTTGGCCTTGTCAATATTTTTCCTATCAATAATGAAGGCATCGGTTTTAACACTATGCACATTGATATTGTTGTTTTTCAATGTTTTATAATCTTTATGCATTTTA